GATTTATGAGTAGCTTGTCAAACGCTCAAACCATTTACAACCCTAGATATGCTTCTAATTAAAATACACAAGATATTTTGCTTATTATATCTGTAATTTTTGTCAAACTTTCTCATCATAAGAAATTGCCTCACAAAATGCATCTTGAGTAGTTTAAATTGATGGAATTGATGTTTAAATTATTTTGAAAATATTTATTTTTTAAAATAATTACAAAGTTGTTAGACAATTGGTCATTTTCCATTTACGGGTATCCCCTAACTTTGGAAAAGTCAAGGAAGGTTTCCAAGAATTAGGGGAATAATCCCTCCAAATTTTATAATTTTAGGATTTGTATTTAATTTTTAATAATTAAAATACTTCATAGAGTATTTAATTAATTAAACATTAAATTTAAGTCATTTATTTTCAATTTTATTTTTAATATTTTCTCCTCTGTTCACAGAGTTCGGGGGTATTTTTATTTTATTTTTAGAATTTTTTTAAACAAAGTTATGCATTTTTAAGGATTTCATTTAATTGTTGGATTTAATTAATTTAGAAATCCTGAATTATTTACTTATCTGACGCGACATCTCTATCATCCTCGGCGACGTCAAGGGCTTGTGTGACGTCATTTGATTGAGATTTGGATTTAATTAATTCAGAAATCCTGAATTATTTTTTTATCTAACGCGACATCTCTATCATCCTCGGTGACGTCAAGGGCTTGTGTGACGTCATTTGATTGAGAGCCTTTCCACGTGAGCATCCAAGGTGTCTACAATTTGATGCTTCTTCCCTTTACGGTTTGATGGTATTACTGTCGTCTATTTCCAATACATAGAAATAGGCGGCATCCAGTCATCATCCCCACGGGACATTAACTTGAAATTTGTTCATGATCAAAAGTTAATAACTCCTTTGATTTTCTATGAAATCCCACAGAGTTTGTTTCTAATGCTTCATCTAACCTAGACGAACATATCTATATGTTAACCAAGCATGGTGTATTGGTTTCTTTCATAAAAGTCCAAACACGAGGCAATATTTAGGGTTTTTGATCCATGCCTTATCCCAAGAGGTGTGGATTTGATTAGCCTTGATAGACATGATCACTTGGACCTCACGAAGCTTTTCCTTGGCTCAATTTGAAGTGAAAACAACTTTAGCTATGAGCTAGGCTAAAAGGTGGCTCAGTTTGGTCTTAAGCTAGGTTAGATGGCTCGGGGAGACTCAATTTTTATTGGGAATGTCTTCTTGAAGCTTAGGGAAGCTTTTGGAGAATTGGTTTGGAGTTTTTGTAGGGTTAATGTCACACCCAAAATTTGTGTTGGATTTGGATTGGAAAATTAGGGTGTTTGTGGCCATGGTCAAGGCTTGGAAGTGGGGGGTTTCGATTGCCTAGACCAAGGGGAAAATTTTTTATGTTGGGAGAGCTTTTTTTTCCTTGCATGGCTCTCAGGTTTCCCTTCTTATGGTCATAGAAGGGTGAGGAAGAGGCCAAATATGGCTTGAAAAAGCTCTTGTGACTCCTCAAAGAGGTTTGTAGAAGCATGGGGAGGAGTTAAGGTGGCAATGCCAACCTTTAGAAGTTTTGAACATATGAGCTCCAATGGAGAAGAGAAAGGGAATTCATGGCTTGGATATATTGGGGAGAGCATAGGTGGGATTTGTTGGGCTTGGAAGTAGTTTTTCTAGACCCAAGTATGAAGGGAACTTCAGTTAATTGAACTTAGATGCCAAGTATAGGGAGGGCCAGGAAGACATAACTTCATTTGTCCTCTCTTCTCTTTTTTTCTCATTTTGGTTTTTTTTTTTTTTTGGAATATTGGTGGGGATTGGGCAATCATCATGTAACCTGATAGGTTGTTTTAGGTTATGGATGAAGCATTTAAGATGAATCATGGGCTTGAACCATGGGCTTGGATAATGGGTTAAAGCCTTGGACTTTAAGCTTTAGGCTAGGATTTTAGGGTTTAAACCTAAGCCTAATGGGTCTTAAATTCATTCTATTAATTAGTTAATTCATTAATTAATTAAGAGATGAAAACTTGACCATATGACTCTGGATTGACCATTGGAACATGGGTTGACCATATGGTCCATAAGTTGATTATTTGGTCATGGGTTGACCATCTGGTTCATAGATTGACTGTTGGACCATAGATTGAGCATTGGACCATAGATTGACCGTTGGACCATGGTATTCGCTATTATGGTCCTGGGTTGACCATGGTGGCCTTGAGTTGACCATGGTGGCCATGGGTTCGGTTGGGTTAGAGTAAGATGGTCAATTGATCAAATTTGGCCCAAATTAGGGTTTACTAGAATTAATTTTGATCATCTTATGTTACCGCCAAAATTTGGGTCCAAAGTGGCATTTTAAGGTTTTGGTCAAATTTTTGGGGTTTGGTAGGCTTAGAGAGGCCACTGGTGAGTTCAGGGATCAATTTGGGTAGACCCCTCCCCTAGAGTAAATTTTGTGGTCATAATGGTTCTTACGATTTATAGGGAGGTTGCTAGGGTTTCTTATTAAGTTGGGGGAGCTAAGGCAAACAGACAATCTCTAGAGTTTTAAGATGAGCTAGACTAATAAGTTTTAAGCAACCTAAAATTTTTCAACCCCTAAAATCTGAAAAAGACATTAAATTTTAAATGAAATCCTAATGAACAAAAATCACCAAATGAAACTTGAACCCTGACATTAAATTTTAAATGAAATCTTAATGAACAAAAATCACCAAATGAAACTTGAACCCCAAATATCCATAGATACCCGAATCTACGAAGATCTCTTAAATGATGCAATCTGTGGTTGCTGATAAGAATCATCTAGTCAAAGTAGGTTTGACCACCTCTCAGACTAAGTAAACTAGGGTACCCGACGATCATGGGGTGATGGCTCCATGGACATCTTGATTGGGTTGTCTAAAAATTAAGAATTTAACGAACAAACAAAAAACATAATTTTTGTTAACATTATTTTGCAAGACTGCTAAAGACAAAAGGTGAACGTTACCCTAGATTTACTTTTCATATTATGAGGGTCTGATAATTCTGTTTTGCAGAGACGAATATTCAAAACTCGGAGCAAATGATGAACCTCAACTGAACCATCAATGATAAAACAAGACTCCAGGATAGTTCAGAATCTTTAGGAATATATTATCTTTAGAACATGGATTTGACATTCCTCTCCTTAGCAACGACACTTGAACTTGATGAGAACTCGATCAGAATTTTTCTTGAGTAGTCTTTACTACTTAAGATGTAATTAATTATAGAGATTTATCCTTATAGGAGGATGTGAACCTTAAAATAGGTACATTAACCTAAATTCTTTGATAGTTTGCTTTCCTGAGGTGTTTTCTTTCATAGTCATGTCTTATAGGCAAATCGAAGTGATCTCACTCTGGAGTTATGGTTTGGAGTTATCAAATTGAAAATTTACTTTATGATGACTTTTCTATGCATCTTTTTTGGTTTTTCTCGTTTTTGCTTGCCCAGTCGTCTGATTTCCCATCTCTTAGTTCATTTGTATATCTGAGTTGGGGAATTATTTGGAGAAGATGGCAACATAACGAAAAACAAATTGGAGACTTCTTGACAACAAAAACGGCAACAAGCAATTGACGAAATGAAGACTGACGATACGCGACTAGCAACACCAAGAGTTTGGTGACTCTGCTGAGGAAATCTTCTCTCCACATCTACGATTAATAATTTTTTTCTCGTAATTAGGGTAATATGCCTTGTAGGCTAATTATTCTCCTTTTATATTTTGCTCATTTTAATCTTGGGCAAGATATAACTGACATGATAGAACTGTTCTTAATGCGAACCTTAAGATCCTAAATCCGAAAATGACAAAATTGTTTAAAAAACAAATAACTCGACATTAAACCTTTCAACAAAACATAATCAAAAACAACTTTTCCTAGAACATATGCCTGTTATAATTAAAACATAAACAAAATCCCCAATTTACATAATGAGTCGGGTCCTGAAAGACAAATTAGGATGACATTTTAAACTTCTTCAAAATTACAGAATCGACAATGGTTGCCCCGAAGATAGTCATTTCGTTTATCGGAGGACTCTACTTGCCAATTGATAAGGCTTCTCGTTACCAAGGATCACCGATCAAATTTGGTTCTAGATTTAATTAAATCGAAGTAGTACTTGGTAATCTGTCTCACACTAAGCCTGCCACTGAGGTGATAGAACCAACGATCGAGTTCATTCTCAAATCCCACCAAGAGTTCCCTTTGCTTAAGGAAAGCTATCACTTCAATACTAATTATCATTCTCAAATTCCATATAGTTGCAATTTAAGATAGATGGTGGGTCGATATAACGTATTCCTACCATCATTATTATAATTAGCCTTCTTTCTCCAACAAAAAAAAATAAAAATAAAAAAATAACCTTTTATGTTATATCGACCCACAAAAGATCAACATTTATCTTGCAGCCAGGGACTCATAAATGTGTCATTGATGTTTACGGGCCTTGCTAATCCTATTAATCAAAAAAGCACAGCAGTAATATTCAAATTAACAAAGACTGTTGATACAGCCTGCGGAAATTAACCAAAGCTAAAATATCACCCATACCGAGAGGACAGTAGATTCTTCCTTTGTAGCCAAAACTGTTACAGTGCCTGTCCCTGTTTTTACTTGAAATACGGTCCCCCTCTGCATATCTTCTAATCCGAAAGCAACCGAAGCTACAGTGGCAACTTCTTCAAATCATGCAATCTTTCTTCCGATACCAGAAGATCTCAAGCCCTCAATCATAATACTTTCTAAAAGCTTGGCTGTAGGGGCCAAACTCTAATTTCACAAAATCAATTTTGTTTTTGTCTGCATAAAAAAGTAAAGGTGAAAAATTAAAAGCATGGAGGCAGCTTAAGTGGATGGAAGCAATCTCTCACTGAGCATCACCTTCTGGATATAAATACAATGCATATATTAAATCACCAGAGTGGATCCAACTTTAGGAGAAGACTGGATAGTAATAGGTTAATGATTATGTTGTGTGGAACCAGGAAATTAGAAGGCATTTGTTTTAAGAATAAATAGTTTCCCTTACAGCCAAGAATAAACAGTGTTACAGCCTTACAGGGTACCTTTAATCTGCAGGGCCATGTCTCCAAAGTAAGTTATGAAGTACAACGAATTTACACTGATACTCTTATTTCTTTTATGTCATTCGTTCACAAGTTTTGTACCGTAAAACAAAGGTAAACCATAAACCTTTCTAGTCGAGCAACATAATGGTTATACATTTAGGATCAGGAAAATCGAGCCGAAAGAGGTCATGAAGTATTATTCATGATATTCATGATATGTACGACATGAGAACCAAAGGAATCCAATTGGATGAATAGAAATAAAATTGATATCAACAGCAACCCGAAGCAGCACTGCAGAGGTAAACCGAACCTATTAATGATGAGCTGGTTATGATGCCGGATGCATCCATTAAATCGCTAATCTTTATATGTTGCAGCGGTCATAATTGTAAAACCATGAGTAGAGCCCAGTTTCTGCTGAGGAATTATCAAATGGCCCTTCTTTCAGAGAACGCGATTCCAGCAATTGATTTAGTGTTGCAATTTCTGTCTCATAATTTTTCTTCAGGTCAGCAATCTCCTGATAGGCCTTCTCAGTCCTCTGCTCCGCAGCTAAAACTTGTTCCTGGAGAAGGGGAAGAAATGCTTGAATAAAAAAGCTAGCGCATGATATCAAAAGCCAAAAAAAACAATAAAAATAATAAATAAATAAAACCTTTAAAACTAGATATTGAGTTTCTGTCTGCAACGACAACAAGCAATAATGTGGAGTATCTCAACCAATAATCGAGATGCAACGCTACTCTATAATGAGCTGTTTAAAAAGAAATATTAAGTTCATAACAAACTCTACAATGTAAATAGTTAAAGCTGGGAATGTTGGCTTTCAAACATATTCCAAAATAAAATAAGAGTAATTCTAGGATTCACCAATAATGGAGATGCAACAGTACTCTATAATGTGCTGTATAAAAATAAATATTAAGTTCATAATAAACTCTACAATGTAAGAAAGTTAAAGCTGGGAATGTAGGCTTTTAAACTTATTCCAAGATAAAATAACAGTAATTCCGTAGGATTTTGGCAGTGGCTGTTTAAAATGAGCTGTTTAAAAACAAATATTAAGTTCATAACAAACTCTACAATGTAAAAAAGTTAAAGCTGGGAATGTAGGCTTTTAAACATATTCCAAAATAAAATAACAGTAATTCTATAGGATTCACAAATAATCGAGATGCAACAGTCCTCTATAATGTGCTGTATAAAAACAAATATTAAGTTCATAATAAACTATACAATGTAAAAAAGTCAAAGCTGGGTATGTAGGCTTTCAAACATATTCCAAAATAAAATAACAGTAATTCCATAGTATTTTGGCAGTGGCTATCTGATGGGTTGTTGTATCAGGTTTATTCAGCATCCCCTAGTCATTTTAGCCAAAGTCACCTTTTCAGGCACTCATATTTTGCAAGTAGCTCATCAACCAAAAACACTAATGCATTCACTGCTTCATAAAGAGCATGTACTTTATTTTAGCACTGATTTAACATCAATTCCTTGATGAAATTTTAATAAAATACAGAATCTAAATGCATTAGACGTGCAATACACATCCAAATACAGACAAAGGAACATGACATTGAACATTTTCCGAAACCATTTTTTATAAATCCTCAAAAAGTGTTTTAAACATAAACACCAAACAAACAAATTGCATCAACAAGATTTAAACTTTTGAAATAGTTTTCTAACAAGATGCAAATTACAGCAATGAATAAAAGAAAGATATGCTACTAGCCTCTTTGGACAAAACACGATGAAATTATAGCAATATCACTGATTCCAGGTGTATGCTGTTCATGCTTGTCAACAAACATCAACTTATGGGCTATTTGGTTTGCTGAAATATTAATGCAGAGTAAAAGTAATGCCTTGTATTTGGAATACTTTGAAATTATTTGACTATATGTAAAATAAATGCAGATTTTCACATTTTCTTGTATGGTTTGAACAAAATGAAATCGATATAAAAATATGTGGCCGAGAGTGGCGCAGACAGCCTGCGGGCGATGGTGGACTGCGGAGATGGGCGGCAATGGCTGGTAATAGCGGGCTGCAATGGCTAGTAATAGCGGGCGGCAACTGACGAACAAGCTATTGGCTTCAACGAAAGTACTTACACAAAATGAAGCATTTGGAATTTGTTTGAATCCAACGAATTCCAAATACATAAAAAAAGGAACTAGAAAATGAATTCAAAATGTAATTGTAATTTTACATGCATTTGGAATTCATCCGACCAACCACCCAAATTTCTAAGACTTTCACAAACAAAAAGAAAAAAAAATCAGTGCAGTCCTTTTGCAACAAACCAAAAAACGACTTAAATGTATTACATACAACAAAATAATGCATGTTCAAAAGTTATGGCAAGTGCATGAATAATAAAATTAATATATAATAAGATCACAAATCACTTAAGTAGGATAAGTTTCACCTATGCCCACGATTACACAAAGCTAAATAACCAACAATGCTATAGAAAACTATAGAATCAAATACATTTGAATTTGGATAACCTAATTGTTGTTGATGCTTGGCACTATGTCCTCCATCAATGAGTTTGTCTACTAACCACTAACATCCTGCTCTTAAACTGAGAGAGATCCTTACACCCTTACACTATCTACAAAGATAAGCTGAGATGCATCCTACACTTAGATTTCCTTAATTTTTTATTGAGCATTGTGAGGTGGCATGTATGAAGCTACATACAGTGCGAAAATGATATTAATTTTAGCAGCTATCAAACTTTAAAATAAAAAATCAAATTTAGTAAAAAAAAAGACTAAATTATTGCTATTGTATGATAAGTAATTAGCACTTTAACGAGTGGTATTAATCTTAGATAAGCTTAATTGTGAACTTCCAATGCATTTAACAACAAGCATGTCCAAAAGAAAGAAGAAATTCAACTCCACACATCTTAACACAAAGTTTCGAATTTTTGTGTTGTGCTGACAAGTAAATATGCACCGTAAACCTAAAAAATCTATATTTAATTAAACTTTGATGTCTAAATGAGATTTCAATCGCAGTCGAGAAATAAAATTGAAATCTCATAAGGTTTGTGCATATAAAAGGACTGAAGTAATCATGGAATCTATCAAATTGAGGCTCTCTACCTCATTGCTTAGAAAATTCGTAAACCGACCTCCTGCGAGAGTTTTTGTGTGGTTCCAGACTAGATTTTTAAAAGGCATATTAGATTACAAATAAGACACCACCCAGACATTTCACCCTCATTTAGTGAGTGTTTTTAGATCTGACATGAGGCTTCTCATAACTCATTTTGTAAGAGAACTTTTCATTAAGACTACTCGTTAAAGTGCTAATTACTTAGCATACAATAGCAATAATTGATTTTAGATTTAAAAATTTGCTACCATTAGCTTTAAATCACTGATGGAAAATATAATAACAAATCAGAATAAAATTGCATAGTTCTATCATTTCTCCTTATCATAAACCCAAATTTAGTAAAAAAAAGACTAAATTTTTGAAAGGCATATTAGATTACAAATAAGACGCTGCCCACACATTTCTCCCTCATTTTGTGAGACTTTAAGATTTAACACGAGAATTCTCATAATTCAAACATTTATGATTAATTATCTCACTCAATAATAAAAAAACATTTCATTAACACTACTCCTTAAAGTGTTAATTGCTTGGCATACAATAGCAATAATTGATTTTAGATTTAAAAATTTATCACCCTTAGCTTTAAATGGTTGATGGAAAATATAATAACAAATCGGAACAAAATCCCATAGTTTTATCATGTAGATTAATCATGACCTCAAACTTAATAAAAAAAATAGTAGGCCCAATCTGACCAAATGACCATTATCAATAATCATGGTTCGAACAACCAAAAATAGCTTGCAAACATAGATATTGAATGTGTCAATTTTAAATTAATCTTAACAAATAGAAGGCCTTTTGAGCTATCCAATGTATCATAATACATAACTTGGATAGAGCCATTGAGGAACATACTGGCAACAGCTGTGATTATAATATAATATCATCATATTGAGTTGAGCCACCAGATTTCTAATTGTAACTACTTTTAGTTGTGACATTTAGCGGTAAAACCACAAGAATAGTGAACATAAGCCACATCTTTACTACCATAAAATCATTTAGTGTGACCTTTTATTCACATGATATAGCATCGGCCATTTGTAAGTACAATGTAATCTTAATTTTGTTGGAAGAATTATGCTCTAAACACTATGCAGTATATTTTTGTTAAACATTTTTTTTAGATTTTATAATATTAAGTTTTTTAGATGATATAGGAATTCAAACACAAAGTACTAAACAATAAAATTTAGAAGTATTTTGATAATAAAGTTCTCCAACAATTGAAATTTTCTACCAACATGACCATCATGAGATAATACATTTGAAATGCTTGTATTTGCAATTTAAGAATTTTATTTTGAGAGTGAACCCCTTTGATTAAAATTTACTTTCAACAGAGTCTTTATTTTAAGAATTACCCCATTTGGTTGATATTCACTTTCGACATGATCCTCATAAGAGTTTTTATTAACATCCCTTCGTTAATTTAGATTATGTCAACTATGCCAGTTTAACTATAAAGATCGAGTTAAGAGATTAAAATTTGTGACTGAATTTATAGTTATTATATTAAGAATTTTCATTTTAAAATGAGTTTTTTTAGAGAATCATTGACAACAATATGCATGTATGTAAAAGTAAGCTATTTTGAAATAATTTTTTAAGATATCCTTTCTTATAAAATGAACACTCAATTTCTTGGTCATTCTCGTCAATTCCAATAGTTATAAAGATTCCACTGGATGAATAAAACTCGATCTAGTCAACTCTAGCCCTTATGAGAAAAAGAATCTAATAAATAAAATAAGATTAAAATTGTCTTATGAATAAGGCAGCCCACTCGAGAGCATGTATAGTTTGACAGTCAAATTTAATTTTGAAAAAAGAGTATGTATTTTAAAAATAATTACAAATGTTTCAATAAATTTATATACTTCTCAAAGTCATAGCACATTAAGACATTCAATATGCTTGTCGACGTGGCATTTTCAAACCATATGTTTGAATAAATATCACATTAGTCAAAGCATGTGTAGACTATTGACATTTGATAGTGTGCACGAATCATGTTGCCTTTGCAAAATATGCTTGTGCAATTTTTGATGTATCTCCAAAACGGGATTAGATAATGTGTAGTGTACTTACATGTTTTTAATGCATTTTAAAACTTAATATTGTGACTTGTGGACATAAATATAAAATGCTCAATTTTTTTATTTACATAAAATTTAAGGTGCTTGCACAAATCTCAATGTGTTACAGTTTATTTAAAAATAGTCTTAAAATTTGTTTATTCTAAAATCATTCAAAACTTAAATGCTTGCATCAAAATTCATGTGTTCTGTGTCAGTAATTGTCAACATGTGATTTATACACTATAAACTAATAATATATTCTATTCTATCCCACCATACATCAACAAATTTCTTTTCCTTCATAAAATTTATCTTTTTATATCACCTTCAGGATACA